TGAGTGAGATTGTTTTTTTAGTTTTTGCCATTTAGATTGAATTGGAGTTGGTCTATTTTAGCATACTTTGACGAAGTTGATTCAGAATCCAAAGCTAGAGTTACCGGGTGTCTGTCTCTTGCTTGAGTTTTTGAATTTATGATGGATTTGGGTTTGTTTGTTTGTTTGCAACTTGCAAGTACATTAAAATGAAGTAGAGTTGGATAATAAATTAATAGATAAGTAGGTAAATAGGTAGACGGTCGAGTTAAATAGTATATTCTTTTTTTTTTTCCCTAGAAAGAGTTCTCTTTAGCTATAAGATTATATTTTGTTGTTATATTTTATCTTGTTTTATTAATATACTATACAATTCCCTATAATAACTATCTTCCCCATCGATATAAATTAAATAAGAAATGTGTTTATTTTATAAGTAAAATATTTTTCTTAAGATATAATTTGTGAATTCATACAAGTATTGTTACGCCGAGTAACAGGAAACTCTCACGTGCAATCAATATCACGTGACTGGCTCAGTAAGGATCAGTGAGCTCAGTACTGAGCCGTATTGATCCTACTGAGTAGCCATCGGTACGAAGGTCTATATAATCTAGATGGATTTCCTTTGTATGGAGCTTCGTGCTCAAGATCAATCATTTAGTATACTATACTATTAGTTACGAATTGTATCATTGTCATTACTTAAGTCCCTGCTTAACGCCTAGTTATAAACCACCTCGAGAGCCTAGAGTACTTCCACGTGATCTAGACGGCAAACCTCGTAACATTTCATAAACCATTATTTTAACTTCATTTGAAAACTGCCGCTTGTAAGATTTCATTTCCAATTTCCTCTCTTCCATTCATATATCTCCAAGTCAAATATCATAACTTCATCATCCCATCCTTAAAACCTCCCAATGCCATAATACTTTAAAAGCAAAAAATGGAAAATGTGAACCTAATTTGGTATATAACAATCATGCTCGCAATACCTTCCTCAAAATCCCCAACGCCCGCTCAAATATCAATATGCAATGCTTCAAATTGAAAGAAATATCATTGACCATGAGAGCCAGCTCGACCATAAACCACACCTCCCGTACCACTTGCACCCAAACCACTTATACCATATTCAGTCAAATCTCTTCCATGACTATCAACTGGAGGAAATCTAGCTCGAAGTTCGAGATCATCAAGTGGAATATGTGATCGAATATATTTCTCACGACCATCATCATTTGGATTATGATCCCAGCTAGTAAATTTACCAACTTTAAGAGCACTCCAGACAAGACGTCTTTGACGTTGAGAAATTAAAACATCATTAGTAATCTTTTCAAAATCCCATTTAGCTGCTGCTTCAGCTTGGAAATCTTTCAAAAATTTGATGGTTTCTTCCGTCATGAGTGGATGTTTAGCAGGGAGAGATGCAAGGTTGATAACTTCCTTAGGATCATCGGCAAGGTTGTAAAGTTGATCTGGATCAGCTGGACATGTGATATATTTCCATGTTCCACGTCTAATCATCATCATTGGTGAAATGGTACCTTCACCACAATATTCCGCAAAAACTGTATCAGATCCACCTGGACGTGATTGAAGATGTGGAAGAAGAGATGAACCATCCATAGGAAGACCTGGCCATAATTCAACATTGGTAAGATCGGCCAATGTTGGAAGAATATCCAATGTAGAAACATTTGCCAATACATGGTGTGCATTGAACCATTTTGGGTAATGAACGAGAAGAGGTACTCGAACAGATGCCTCAAAATAAGACATCTTATACCAAAGACCACGTTCTCCAAGCATATCACCATGATCACCACTAAAAACAATAATTGTGTTTTCATCAAGTCGACAATCCTTCAAGACTTGAAGTAATTTTCCAATGCAATCATCAACGTAACTGACTGCTCCATAATATGCACGCCTAGCTCTCTTGATTTGTTCATCCGTGAATTCTTTACCCCAAAGATCACAGACTTTCAGCAATCGCTTGCTGTGTGCATCTAATTCTTCTTGTGGAATTTTGGTCTCTGGTAGATCAATATCAACGCCTTCATAAAGATCCCAGAATTTCTTTTGGATGTTATAAGGATCGTGAGGATGAGTGAGGGAGACCTGAGATGAAATGTTAGTGAAAATGGAACTGAATTGATAATATGAAACTTACAGTCATGCAAAATGGTCTGGCATCTGGTCCTTTACGAACATGATCATAAAGGAATTGAGTTGACTTATACATCACCTCCTCATCATAATCCAATTGATTACTTCGCACACAAATACCAGCTTGTAAGATAGAGCTAGCATTGTGGTACCATTCCAATCTTTTGTCTGGATCTTCCCAATTCACAGCCCAACCATAATCTCCAGGATAAATATCACTTGTCAATCGACTCTCGTAACCATGTAATTGTTCTCCAATAAAGTGCATCTTTCCTGCCAATGTAGTTTCATATCCTGCTGCTCGTAAATAATGTGCGTAGGTTGGAGTGGATGGGTCGATGGAACTGGCATTATCATATGAACCAATTCTGCAAGGTAATTGACCAGTCACCATGGACATTCGAGAAGGAGCGCATAGTGGTGAAGGACAATATGCGGAATCGAAGACGACGGAATCTTTTGCAAGACCATCAAGATTTGGTGTTTGAATTTGAGATTTAGGATTGTGCATCTTTAGCAAAGGTGCTGCCAGTTGATCTGCCATGATGTAAAGAATGTTTGGCTTCGAACCTGAAGGCATATTGTTGGTAGTGTTGAAAGGAAGGGTTGACTTTTTTTCAAGCCGTGGAGAAGAAGGAACAGTATTCAAATCTGGAGCCATTGTGATGTCGTTGCTTAGGTCTCTAGAAGGTGAAGATGAGATTGGCTTGAATATATTCTGCCGTATGCCTTGAGGTGGCGAGAAGATTTGGTATATTCTATAGTGAGTTGAGGTCAAACGAAGGATGGGGATATGTCGAGATGATCCGTTGATAATATGGAGGGGTAATAGTAAAAAGGTGTAATACTCTGGGGAAATGATGTGATCAAGAGATGAATGAGTAATATGATACAGGCTTCAGAGGGATATAAGTCAAATATATGTATCCAAATAAATTCAGATCTCAGAAAAATGAAGAAAAGTAATAAATGAAGGACTGAGCGAACGGAAAGGAACAGATATATGAAATCAGAGACTTTTAGATTACCTGGCGGTGAAGAATGAATTGACTTTTGAAAGGACGAGACTGTTTGGGAATAGCTACTTAGACCAGGGAGTGGGAGAATAAAAATGATACCTAGTGGATGATTTGTTATGTGCTTAAAGATGGGATGGGATGCGTGCATATGATACTCTCTGTACATATATTTGGGGGAGTTCCGGGGGAAAATGGTTGCTATTTGGTGTTATCCTGGCGTAATAATCTAGACGCTAGTCCTAATTGGAAATTGGGGGATGGGATCGGGACCCTGCATTTATAGGTAGGAGTCCAATGCAAAATGTTCCTGGTAGTGAACCATTATCGGAAAAAGTAACCATAGTGTTGTTATCAATAAGATTTTAAAGTGCAGTAGCTAAGTAGGACAGGATCTAGGTAGGAGTCTAATAAAAGTATCATGTTCTAGTACCCAGGTAGGTAGCACAAGTTCATCTCTACATCTCGTACACCTACTCTACTTCCTACGCGTATACCCTACTTACATGTCAACTCGAACCGAATGATGGAAATAAAATGTTGAGCAAATTGAGATCTTTTCATCTAGTCTGATAGGTAGTAATTAGTAAGTACAAAGTTTACTTATAAAATTTGTTGATTTTCATGTGACAGTGGATTCATCCATAATTTGTGCTTCTAGCCACCAAATGTTACATGCAGTAAATACTTCAAAAAGTTCAGATACTCACGAGACCCTCATGTTCACAACAAAGCCGAGGAAATCCTTCATGGGCTTATGATTTGATTGACTCGTACATTCCTATCGCGTGTTGAGTTTCAAGGATAGGGTGCGAGTAGGATATCTGGCAATTTGATATGCGTTGTCTATCCTTTCTCCACCTTCCACTCCGTATTTGATTTTCTTCCCCCAACCTTGGGGCGTCTCTCTTCAATACTCCACCATTGCACGGAGTAGTTTTCTTATTGTCTAATTTGTTCCACGCCGTTTCTTCATGCTTCCATCCGCTTTCCGCTTGCCACTTGCCGCGAATGGAAACTAGCTACTAGTACCTAGCGACTAGTACCTAGCGACTAGTACCTACTAAATGCTCGGGTGCCTTTACATCGCGTATCACCGGCTCTTCCGCCGGCTAGCGGTAAAATATTTACTAGATTGAATTAATTCAGTCACTATATAAGTCGCGTGCCAATTATCGGACAAAAGAAAATGAATGAATGCATCGTGAAAGAAAGTAAGCACTAGGTCGTCGTTTGGAAGGTGGTGAAAAGGTGATTTCTTTCCGTACTTCCTTCTTTTCTAACTCTTGTCCCCTTCATAAAGCTAAAGGCAATTTGATAAAAGCAGTGTACAAGACTTGGTTTAGTTTTCATGACTAGCCATCTAACGCCCTAGCTAGCTGCTCTGCTCTAGTCTAGTCCATTTCTCTCCCTTTACCTGACATCGACTTCATTTCTTCCATCTTGAACATTGACTTTCTTCAGCCTTGCATGTGATATGTTAATCCAAGTGGATTCAATTGACCATTAACAAGATGATTATTTACCACTTCTAGCCTCGTGGATGCAAAGACAATAACCATAATCAATCATCAACTTTCCCCATGGCTTTTTTAAAGTTACTCAAATCATATCATTGTACCTCCCTTGTCCCTGAATTTATCTTCTACTTGGCGCACACTACTTCTAATCAAGTTAGCGGAAAATGTCACGCAATTTCTTTCAGAATTTATTGGATGAGGTGGTTGAATTTGTCGCTTCCTGAATGGATGGATGTCAACTACCCTACAGCTAATGGATTGATGGCGGGGTCAAAAGTCACCAAAGCACGCGAGCATCCGAACATTCATTGGTATTTACAATACTATACCTACCTAGTATATAAGTATATAATTCGAGCATATTCTACGTTATCAACTCCTCATACTTTTCTGTTCAAATCATATCTGCAAAGCTTAAATCTTGAGAAACCTTCATTTTTCCTGCTCACCGTCACCTCACCATCAGCGCTATCGACTGGATGAAAATTCCTTAAATGGTCAACAAACACCAGAAAATATTACCTAACGAATTTCATCTTAGGTGTAAGATGGCGGTGGTCTAGATTAAAGATCGATTGGGAAAAGTTTCCCATCCATCGACATCTTATCGGAAATGTGCGGGAATGCGACTTCATCACAAGACATTAGTGCTAGCTTAACCAATCGGGAGCAAATCTGATGAGTTCCACAATATGCTTCAGATACACGATGGAATGTCAGACTGAATCAACCACTCATGTGATTACACGATCTTTTTACCAATAGTTTATTTGTCAAAGTTGGCAATAATTTCCTTGTAGGATTTATGGAAAACTCAATGTACCTGTCGATATGCTGCTTTATTGAAGTTTATTCGGGCCTACCGAGGGTTTGATAGTGCATATCACGTCGCACAGACTTCGTTTCATATCCGAAGAATGGGACGCTGGGATGTGTTTGTATCGGTTGAGGATACATTGGTTTCGGAAGGACGTAGAAACGAAGGGTGAGGTCTTGTGATTTATATTGATTATAACCGGTGCAAGAATCGATAGAGGCGTGGAAGAACATCACGAGGAATAACCTTTTTTGCTCTTGATAAGGAACAACTCTGAAGCATTAAAATCGACAGTGCATTCACACTTCGAGGCGGTTGATGCCTGGAACTGAATATTTGAGGAGTCCAAATTCAACCATAGTCATCTATGAAGCAACTGGTCGACACGAGGAAACAACAAATTCAAACCACAACAGCCAGGTCCAAGTTTTCAATATTCTGAAAGCAAGCCCGCTATTCATCAGGCACTCATTTTTGGAATATCTTGCGCACCATGTACCGGCTAGAAATATTCAGCTAAGCCGAATACTACAATCACACTGCTAAAACCTTTCATTGTTCCCTAGCTGAAAAGTCTTCATTGTTGGAGTATAAATTTGTGATAATATTCCTACCCGGTACAACAAGTTCAACAACTATCAGTCTCACCGCAAGATTCCATTTTAGCTCACGTATTACACGCGAT